TTGTGTCTTCTTTCGCCTTGGAGATCTTAACATCTAGTCATAACTCATTTTCATGTGTTTGTCTAGCTTAACACGAATTACAAAAGAGTTATGGCAACTCTCGTCTAGGACGAAAGTAGCGAAACAAAAACAGCTAATGGTTAGGGGTCTACTTTTCTACATTACATTGGTATCATCAAAATCCTAATACAATGTTCCTAACAATGTCGTGTGCTCGGCAGGCGGCAGCGGGGGCGGAACGGCCGGCGGTACGGGGGGGCGACTCGACTGCGGCCTCGCCCCTCCCGGCGGGGGCGCACCGGGCTCAGAAGGGGGCGCGCCAGACTACGCAGTAACCTTCTGTCTCTTCGCAACAGGGCCACGCGCCATGACGCGCTCGAGGCGCTCACGGAACGAAGACATGATGGGAGACCTCGCTGCAAAATGAAACGAACAGGGGTTAATCCATAAGCCATATGTATAAACGATGGTCTAGTGAGGGAGGGGGAACAAACCACGAGTAGAGGCACGCGAAGGGCCGACAACAGACCCGGAGGACCTGGGCTCGGCAAAAACCTCGCCCGAGGATCCCGAGGATCCCGGGGACTGCTCTGGCGGCTCATCGTCTGACAACTCGATCAAGGGGCGCGCATCCGACTGGGGCGTACGCAGAAGGCGCGAACGAATACGTGGCGGTAGCGGCCCATCTGACACAAAGCCCAGGCTACGCATGTTCTCCGAGGTAATCATCTCGCCAATAACAATCTCTCCCCGGTTGCCCCAGAAGGCGTGGATGTCCCCTGTGGCGCACAAACCTGTTGTTCCAAGATAGGAACGGGCGACGATCGCCGACCGAGATGAAGACAAAGTGCGGTTTCCAATCTCTGTTGGTCTGATTGAAGTCATGGAACGTCTTCATACGCGCCCGGGCCGCTATACCCACGAACCCCTTACTGGCCTGGCCGGAAGACGAGGTGACTTGAAACAAACTCTAGAAGATATCCATGTAGGGCTTGACACGAATAGTGTGGCAGCGAAGCAAGAAGGCAAGAAATAAGTAATGGGCATTCGGAACCAACTGCCCGGGTGCGATGCCGTAATGGTTAAGGAAGGATTCGACGAAGGGATGAATAGGGAAGCGAAAACCGAGGTACAGGGACTGCACGTGAACCCCCGAAGAAGAGGGGTGTCGGAGGCTCGGTGACATTCCCCGACGGAGAAGGCAGGCACACCTCGGCCGTAGGTCCAACATAGCCCTTGGCCTCCTCAAACTCCTGCGCTGAGATCTGAGCCAAAGTCAAGGCCGCGACGAGTGTCTCCAGAGGGGTGTACTGGACAGGATCCTCGTATGAGACCGCGTAGGGGTCCTCCATGACGGGAGGATGGGCGTCCAACGGACCCTCGTATGGCATGGTGACCTCCCCAGAGGGGGAATGAGCGGGAAAAGGAGTGGGGGGGTCGCTAGTGTCATCCATGGGAAGGATGTGGGTGTCTACGGAGTCCAAAAAATCGTCCAAGGAACCGGAAGAAGTGTACATGCACCAACTAAACCTACGAGATAAAAGAAAAGGGGTATAAGGACGGGGCGTGTAAAAAAAAAAAAAAAAAAAAAAAAAAAAAAAAAAAAAACAGAGGCGGTGGACCTCGGCCCTAGGCCGAGGTCGAGGTCGGCCCGACCTCGGCGTGGCGGGACGGCGCGCGAGGTCGGCCGACCCCGGGGTCGGCACGACCTCGGTGAGCGAGGTCGGCTCGACCCCGGCGATCCCGTCACAGGGGATCGGCCGGGACCGGGGTCGGCGCGACCTCAACGGCGGAGGTCAACGCGACCCCGGCGCCCGGAGGGCAGCGCGGCCCCGGCGGAGGGGGTCGGCCCGGCGTGGCCTGTACCCGAAGGGCCGGCCGGTGGGCCACGGAGGCGCGGCCACAGGCCACGCCGCGGCAGGCAGCCACCGCGCCGGCGCCGTGGAGGGGCAGCACGGCGGAACCCGTCTGCAGCCACCGCGCCGGCGCCGTGGGGGGCAGCTTGGCGGAACTTGCGAAAAAAAAAAAAAAAAAAAAAAAAAAAAAGGAGGGAGAGGGGGTGTACCACGCTCGGGCCTGGGGCTCGGCGACGGAAGACAACCGGGGGGTCGGCCGGAGTTGGGTCGGGCCGGAGTGTTGCCGGATTCCGGTGGGGAGCTCGCCGGAGTTTGGGGGAGGAGTGTGATGTTGGAGTGGTGAAAGTGTAGAATGAGAGGGGGGATGGGGTTTATATAGGAGAGGGGGAGATAGGAAGAGGGGGAGTTTGAAATTCAAAATGCAAAAAAAAAGGGGGGGAAAGGTGAAAAGATGGGTGTGATTGGTTGACTTGGAGAAGATGATCAAAACCCAAGAGGACTCTACTGTGTATGTGTCCTAGCAGATGAAGGAGTCATGTTCCGGATGGAGTTCTTCATCATTATCGCGAGAAGTGCGCTTGGACGGCACCTGTAACGCTGGGACGCAGACGTCTCGGGGTCGGCATTTTGAGAGGTCGGCCGGAGCATCTACTCTCCTTCACTGACGATTACTCGCAGCTCGGAGAGTGGGGGACTGATGACGGATATATTAGGAATCGACCCGAACCGACCCGAAGGCACGGAGCAAGAACGGGTCCTGGGGCAGCGCCACGTACCCGCCCCGGCTCTACCTCGCCAAGTGGCCCCCGCACGGGCCACGTTGGAGGCCGGGCCGGCCTCTAAGGCGGCCGGGCCGACCTCCACACGGGCTTGACCTGGCCCCACAGTGCGGCCCAGTCGCGAGACCGGGCATGGTCAACCCGGATCTAACCACCCCCCGCCTTAGTGGGTGGCGGTTAGGGGTGGGGGTTGTATAAAAGCCCCCCACCTTGTCTCGTTAAGACATGATCTACTGTTCTTACATACTCTGTCCTAAAATACTACTGTAATAGCCAATTCTATGGCATTTAATACAATCTACGGTCTCACGGCCTTTGCTATATCGTTCGTATTACTTATTTACTATTCATATTCTTATCCGGGTTTAGTGATTCGGGTTCCCCCGGGTTAATTAAATCCATCAATGTATATACTGTAGATATGTATATGTATATATATATATATATATATATATATATATATATATATATATATATATATATATATATATATATATATCATAAGTTAGGCATATATAGTATATAGTAATGTATACACTATACCGATAGTGTATTGGAAAATGACTTCCAAAAAAAAAAAAATGAAAGTCATTTTCCTCCAAAACATACTTATTTTACTTTGACTAAGACTTCATTTTCCATTGACCTCATTTTCCCTCCTCTTGCCAAACACTGAAAACTCGGAAAACATTTTCCGAGTTTCTAAACGCACCCTAAATGTAACAAGTGCTACAATAAAACTTTATATATTTAGAACTCATTAGACATGTTAATATAAATTTCTTTTCAAAAAAAAAACTTTGGAAACAAAATTATTTTATTAAATCTATAATTAAATCAACAAAATAGTATACATGTATATTTAATTCATAGCATACCATAATATTCATAAAATGATAAAATAATATTTAAAAATCATAACTAATGTTAATATTAACAGGTTAAGTTACCTGTTATGCCTCCAGGAAGAAGAGGCTATATGTTCATAATTATAAAGTTATATATTCATAATATTTGAACTTCATACTCACAATTATTGAATCTCTATATTCATAATTATAGAACTATATGTTCATAATTTTTAAACTATATATTCATAATTATGAATAGTTTTGGAACTGTGTCCACCTTTGTAAGGTGGACACAGTTCCACAGCATAATTTGCCATAGGGTTACATAGTCATCCAAATAAAGAATTTTAAAAAATAAAAATAAAAATGTAAGGATTCCTCCTATCAAAATTTGTGGTGGAAGAGAGTTCCCCAAAAAATTGGTTAATGACCCAGAGAACTCCGCCACTCAAGTCAGTAACGACTAAAGACTTGCAAGACTTGCAATGCTGCTATCATTGTTAACATGTATTTTGGGTGATCAGAATTATTGCAAAGTGACCACTATGGTATTGATTTAAATATAAAAGTTTTATAGACTTGTAAGTCTTTTCTTATCCCAAAAGGTTGAATCTCCATTCCTAATGGCCCCCCACACTCCGACTCAACAGAGCATATGAGAGGATGTAAATCACGGTGACTCACTTGTATGTCTTTTGTCTTTAGTTGTTGACGCTTGACGGAGCAAACTTACAATTTGTGGTAGAATAATTAATTTCACTAAAAATTGGTTAATGATTGAGAAAGCTCAGGAATAATGACAACTAAAGACTAAAGACTCGCAAGTAACAATGCAACTATATATCAAATTTAACATGAATTCTGGGTGATTAAAATTACGTAACTAATACTCGACTTTGCAATTTATTGTAAACTGAGCACATCGATAATGAATATTGATACACCAGATAGTGAAATTTAAATACATCCAGTGGTGGGATATGACTCTTTGGACTACAATAGATAATGAATTAAAATTAAAAGAATAATAATAAGACTAAATGTATAAATATCATAATAATTAAAAATTAAAAGTGGAATTCACGTTGGTTTTGCAACGTACAATTATATACTGGCAAAAATTTGTGTGAGATCGTCTCATCATGAGTCGGGGTCGGGTCAAGATGAAAATGTAATACTTATACGTACAAATGTTATACTTATATGCTTAAATGTAATACTAATTAGGAATTAAAAAAAAAAATTACTTGTAAGGGTAAATGTAATATTTTTACATTTTGATTTAAAAGTATTACATTTTTTTTTCAAAAGTATTTTATATCGATTGAGACATGCAATGCATTTTCCAGTCCATGTTTTTCGTAGTTGTCAAGGAAGCTTCCAGCCCACCTTAGTAATAGCTATAGCATATGAAGTGTGTGTATATATATATATATATCTATTATCCAGCGAACAAATAAACATAAGCAAAGCATTACATTCATATATATTAAGCTTGAAAAACTTTCCTCATAATGGGGACGACTTTCGTCCATAAAACTAGTTATTTCTTCATCATCCTCTTCGCCTTTGTGCTTATGGAGCTGTGCAATTGTAGCGGAAGCAACAACTTGGGGGTTTGCAAGGAGAGGGAAAAGCAAGCACTATTGTGCTTCAAGAAGGAGTTTGAAGATCCAATGAATCGACTCTCCTCTTGGGTTGATGGAGTTGATTGTTGCACCAAATGGGAGGGAGTTATGTGCGACAATGTAACCGGTCATGTTGTTGAACTCCGGCTAACAAATCCCAACTTTCAGTTTGAGTTTGTTCATCTTCCAAAAGGTACACTCAGCCCTTGTTTGCTAGAATTGAAACAATTACATCATCTTGATCTTAGTGGCCTTTATAAATATTTCAGTGGATCTCGAATTCCTAACTTCATAGGATCTTTTGCAAACTTGCAATATCTTGATTTATCCAATTTGGGATTTCAAGGGATCATTCCCCCTCAACTTGGAAATCTTACAAGTTTGCACTCTTTAATTTTGCAACTGAACTTTGATGATACAAATCATGCTAGTCTCATAAAAACTGATAGTCTTGATTGGTTGTCCAATCTTTCAAATTTACAGTTATTGGATTTGAGTTATGTTAATCTTAGCATGACACATAATTGGTTAGAGGCCATTAATATGCTTCCTTCCTTGCGTGAGCTTCATTTATCTAGATGTGATCTGCCTAAACTATCCCAGTCACTTCGCCTTCTAAACAATTCTTTACTTGAAGTCCTTGATCTTTCCAATAATGAATTCAACATTGTTATTCCCAAATGGATGTTTAATCTCAATAACCTTGTTTCTCTTGATCTAACATCTTCTGGTTTTCTAAGTCCACTCCCGGATGGCCCTTGGAACTTGACATCCATTATCACTCTTAACATCAGTGATAATGAAATGAATGGTTCATTACCTAGTCAATTGTTTGGTCTTAGTGGTTTGGTATCTATGAACCTAAGAGGTAATCAATTTCAAGGTCCCTTGCCCAATGGTTCTTGGAACTTGACATCCCTGAGTATTCTTGACATCTCCAGTAATAATTTGAATGGTTCATTACCCCATCAATTGTTTGATTTTAGTCACTTGATATCTTTGGACATAGGCTACAATCAATTGAAGGGAACCATTCCAAATTCTATTTCCAATTTGACTTCTTTGTCTGTCCTTGATTTCACTGGAAATATGCTTACTGGAGAGATACCAAAGCAAATTGGGAATCTCAACAAGTTGCAAGTTCTTTCTCTCTATAGAAATATGCTTACTGGAGAGATGCCAAAACAAATTGGAAATCTCAGCAAGTTACAAGACCTTGATCTTGCAACAAACAGGTTATGCGGACCTCTTCCTGAGAATTTGGGGTATTCATGTCCAATGATTAAAAGGTTGTACATTTCAAACAACAAGTTGGAAGGCATAGTGACTGAAAATCACTTTGTTAATCTCACAAAGTTAACCACTTTAGATGCATCTGGAAATAGATTAACCATGCGTGTCAATCCAAACTGGACACCTCCCTTCCAACTTGATCGGCTTTATCTAAGTGGCTGGAATTTGGGGCCTCAATTTCCTCTTTGGTTGCAATCTCAACATCAAATTTCTGTGGTGGACATTTCTAATGCTGGAATAGAGGGTGAGCTTCCAACTTGGTTATGGAACTTTTCTTCTCAAATTGAATTAGTTAATGTTTCACACAACCAATTGCGAGGCCAAATTCAAAACATACCATCTCATTCAACTAGAGAGATTGGTATGTCTTTCTCAGTATTCTTGAGCTCTAACCAATTTAGTGGTCCCTTACCTCGTATTTCTATCCACATAATTGGGTTAGACTTGTCAAACAATTCATTCTCAGGAAATGTTTCTAAGTTCTTTTGCCATGCACAAAAGGTACCATATGAACTCAGAATACTTCATTTGGGAGGAAATGATTTATTTGGAGAAATTCCAGATTGTTGGATGCATTGGCCATACTTAAGAGTCCTAAATATGAAGGAAAACAAATTGAATGGAAGCATTCCAAATTCTATTAGGCTTTTGAGTCGTTTGGAATCTTTGGACATGCACAAGAACATGCTTTCTGGCCCTATACCTTCATCATTGCAAAATTGCACGCTTTTGTTGAAAATTGATTTGGCTGAAAATGGATTCACAGGAAAGATTCCAAGATGGTTGGGGACTAGACTTTTAAATTTGACAATTTTTAGACTCCGATCAAATAAGTTTTATGGTGAATTTCCTCTAGAATTTTGCCATCTTAAATCACTCCGCATTTTAGATCTTTCTAATAACAACTTCTCTGGTGTGATTCCTCGGTGTCTTAAAAATCTCACTGCAATGATCGATGAAGACGAGATTCAAGATGAAGAATTTGAAATGGGTTATTCATTGTTTGGTTGGGGATTTGGTGAGAATGCTATAGTGACGACCAAAGGGCTAGAGTATGAGTATTACACAGTCATTCTATCGTTGTTTGTTGGCATGGATCTTTCAAGTAACAATTTTTTGGGGGACATTCCAATTGAATTGGCCAATCTTGTGAGATTGATATCCTTAAACTTATCAAGAAATAACTTGACGGGAAATATCCCCATGGAGATGGGAAACATGAGATTCCTAGAATCTCTTGATCTTTCAAGAAATCAACTTTCAGGGAAAATTCCCTCTAGCTTCTCAAGTTTGTCCACTCTAGGAGTTTTGGACTTGTCATATAACAACCTATCTGGGAAGATACCTTCAGGTACTCAACTTCAAGGTTTTAATGCTTCATGCTACATTGGTAACAACCTCTGTGGCCCTCCGCTCTTACAATGTTGTAGTGTTGATGATGGCAAAATTCCAAAAAGCTGTAGTGTTGATGATGGCAAAATTCCAAAAAATGAATATAAAGGAGATGATAGTTCTGAAGTAGTGGATTGGTTTTATGTTAGCATGGCTATAGGATTTGTAGTGGGCTTTGCAGTGGGCTTTTGGGCGGTCTGTGGTTCTTTGTTTCTTGGGCTTTGGGAGGATTGTTTATTTTCAATTTTTAGATGACAAGTTGAAGTCTGTTTTAGTGTGGGCACATGCTCTGAGGGTATAATGTTTCTGGTGTTCTCTACTGTTAGGAATCTATGCATATTGAGATGTATGATTTAGTGTATCTTCTAGCTAGTCCCTTGTAATTTATCATGTAACACGCATTGTCATAATTATGTAACATAGTGTGATTATCATAATTATGTAACATAGTGTAACTGTAAACCTATCGTTTACCTATGTTTCGTTGTGCAAATCTTTTGTAATACTACAATGAGTTTACATATTTTTCAGCCAATTACACATTCATTTTAATTACTTCTACAATAAGGAACTTCTACAATTAGGTCGCGGGACAATTATCGACACGAAACTAGACACAAAAATAACGTGCTAGTGACGGATTGATCCGTAAAGAACCCATTATGTTTCGCGTCTTAATAACTTATTAAACATATTAACAACCCCGTTTAACCCGTTAATATTATTGTGTTAATCCGTTTACACAAACTTGTTTATAACACGCTAAGAAACATTGTTATTTAGGTAATGTGTCATTTTTTTCTTATAAAATTTATAAATAGAATCATTGTTTTATTTTTCTTTATTTCAATATTAGTTATTTTTATTGACTTAGTGATTGCGGTAATTTGGGGCAAACAAATAATACCCGGAGTATTCGGGTTGTCGAACCACAGAGAGATGGGGTACTAATCACTAGCCACTGTTGGAAATCTGCATTTTTCCGACCACCAAAAAGTGGTCGGAAAAGGGACATTTTCGGTCGAAAATGCAGTTTCCGACCAACTTAGCGACCACTTTAAGGATTCGGAAAAAAAGTCCTAGCTATTACCGATAACTAGTCAAGGTGGTCGGAAATACCAACTTCTTTTTTAGGACGTCGGAACTAGTGGTTGTCGGATAAAGAGAGCAAATTTCCTACCACTGGTTGTCGGTAATTGGTCGGAATTACCATCCACCAGTGGTCGATAAGATTTACAAAGAAAAAAAATTAAAATGTGAATTTACCGACCTCTAAGGTGGTCGGTAAGATTTACTAACAAAAAAAATAAAATTTAAAATTCTGCAAATATCAAATAAATTTGATCAGTTACAATTGAAATTCAAATTTCAGCATTACAATATTAAATTCAACAAAACAATTAACAATTTAGGGTAATCAATCATTTAAATCAAGGTGTAGCAATTGTTTCACCATCAAAAATACATTTGTCAAAATATTAGGCTAAACATGCTAATAAGATTGTAGCAATTGTTTCACCATCCAAAATACATTTTCAAAACATTCAAATAATGCACTATCTAATCTTTGCATAGCTTATAATTCTTCTTTTTCCAAGAAAAAAATAGCCCAGGACACGACATCAATTACTACAGTGCTGCTAACATGGAAGCTGTACCTGATTTACATCTTGTGTTGCAAGTTGAAGTGGCTGTTCATTAGACCTGACTTGAAGACTACCACTTCTTCCTGTTAAACTCTTGCCAACATGCTCAAGGGCAAATTGATTACTAAGCTTTGTAGGATCCTTCAACTCCACTTCACTCTTAAGGATTGAAAGTAGAGAGAAATTAAATACCAATTTTAGGGTGTCGGAAATATATTAATGAACCAACAGAGAAATCAACTCAGAAAGTCTAACCTCTTCAGCTAACACTTCATTATACTCCATAACAATAAGCCAGAAATGTGGAACTCCTTTCTTTGCGGTTTTGGTCGTCTTTGTGGTCCATAGACACTGCTTCAGCTTTCTCACCTTCAACTTCAACTATACCATATTGGTCGTCTCCTGGAGAGTCTTCGCCCACATATACATATCCATATGTTTACAAGTAGGGGTGACCCAAAATCTGAGAAAGAATTACAGATTTAAATTCATCACCTGAAGCCAAAGTTACAAAATGATTTGATTCATTCTGGAACTAAAATTCAGCAAAAACCCAAAATATATGCATATATGTACACATCACACACTTCCTACTGACTCTCTTGGTTCATGGTTCCATAACCTACTATCTCGTTACATCTTTTTAATGTCAAAATTACTTCTAGAAGTAATATCTTATAATCTCTTTATCATACTACTACTGAAAAGATACAAAAAGGTCCATAAATTAATGTATAAGACTATAATTTCCCAGAATTACGTAGATTGACTCTTCTGAGCTGTACTAATATTTTATATCTGAATGGTTCTACATTTTTCTGTTGTAGCTTATCAGTTTATGTACTTAAACTGTCAGTTTCTTTCTATCAAACCACCAAATTCAGATTTCATCAACCTGAACCAAAAATTCCTCAGACCAATGAACTTAACTTTTGGTTCGACTTTTGGATTTGCCAAAATTTTCAGGCAACTAAAATATTTCTTAATTAGTTTTAAACTGATGTCTACCACTCTACCCTACTTGTGTGTAACTTTAGTAAAATACCATAGCATCTTGTTTGATGGACCAACTAAATGAAAATAGTTAAAACTTGTTTGAAGATATAGCAAGGTAAAAATAAACAATAGGTTGGCATACCATCGTCAAGAATCATGAAATCCACTTCCTTCCCTTGGTAGATTATAGGACTCTTAAGGCCCCTGATAATGATGCAACATGTCCCACCGGTAATCTAAAATTGGAATATAAAAATTTGAATAAAATGGAAGTTAAAAAGGACATCAAATACTTATCCAAATTAAGCAGAGGAAAGATTCAAGACAATCTTAAAAAGAACAACTAATCTTGAGTATAAGTTGACATGGACCAAATCAATTCTACAACCTCACTAGTATTGACTCACAATATTATAAAGTATGGTCTTTTAACGCAAAATATATCCAAAATCCCTCTTTTGAAATATCACATGTTGATTATGTGTTTGCAATTTTTGGCTCAAAGTGATGATATGCAACAAACCTTAGGAAAATTCTTGTTAGACAACAAAATAGGAAAGGTTATGTATTCCTTCATCACTCTTTGGAGCAAATGTGTGTAATCATCCTTAGAGAGAATGGGAGATGTGCTATATTGATATCCCATTACTGGAAGGAAAGGATACCTGCAATTTCAAAAGGCTCAAATCAATTAAGAATATTACTAAAGAAGCCAATACAACGTCAAAGGCATATTACTCTGCTGAAGTAATTTGACTTAATCAAGGATGATAAAAAGGTCATGTTGTGACAAAGAGGATCATTGTCGGAAAGCGCTTCAAGGCATATGCTGCAAGCATCCTGAACTCCACCTTCCACAAACGCTGCGGCTGAAGTCAAATGGTTCTCAGAAACCTTTCTTCCCTCCATCTATCAGAAGATTAAACCTTCAAAATTGAAACCAAATCAGGACAGAGTGTAGATGACTTTTATAACCATCCAGCAGATGTAATCACATAGCCAATTCTAGTCTAATTATAATATCACAAAACCAACAAAATTTTCCCTACTATGGGTTTCCTAGTACTTGCTGATACATTCATATCACCCTGAAATGTCTTCCAAAGTAACTTCCAATGGAAAATACACTGCTGGTTCAGTTAACAAAGTAGTAAGCAATGTGAACCTGATCAAGTTCCTTTTTATTTTCTTCATTTATTTATTTATATTTTCAATTTATATAGTGTGCTAACTCCAGTTTTACAGGTTATATCAAAGTTAACAGAAGAAAAGGATACTCATATACCATATAGGGATTCAAAATTGACAAGACTTCTTCAATCCTCCCTAAGTTGTAATTCAAAATTGCAGCAGTTATATTTATTAATGGTATTGACTCTAAAAGGTGGAGTTGTGTGCTTGAAATAACTGTATTTAATTTTATTGTTTGTGTTTAACAGCTTATCTGCACAGTCACTCCCTCATCCAAAAGAAATCCACAATGTGTAAGGAACCAAGCAGATCTAGGGTTTCCTATGTAGAGAGACAGAGGGGTCAAAGAATGAGCGGTTAAGCTTGAGACTATGAGTATGAGTAGATGAGGTTATAAGGACTTACCGGAGAGGCGGAGACAAGGCTGTAAGCGGCGGAGGCGGAGATCGAGCCGGAGACAAGGCTGTGAGCGGTAAAGAGGGAGATCGAGCCGGAGACAAGGCTGTGAGTGACGGAGAGGGAGTTCGAGCCGGAGACAAGGCTGTTACCGCGGCGGAGAGGCGGAGATCGAGCCGGAGACTGAGTAGTTGTCGTCTGTTGCAGTCTCCGGAGATGATGGCCGGGTGGATTGGTCGAGACACAGAGAGTTTAAGGTGGAGCGAGAGAGGCAAGCGGCGCGGTGTTGAAGTCTAAATCCAAGTCCTTAACCTCTCTTTATATCCCTTTCAAAAAAAAAAAAAAAAAAACCTCTCTTTATAATAATAATAATAATAATTCTTTTCGACCACTAAAGTTGGTCGGAAAAAAACATTTGAAAAAAGTAACTGTAAATAATTTTAAATGGCCGAAGAAAAAATATTCCACCACTTATACAATTTCCGACCACTCTAAAAAGTGGTCGGAAATTCCGACCGTTTTTTGTCCAACCTAACTCCTCGACGGAGAAAAGAAAAAATTTCACTTTTTTTGACCATTTTTATGGTTGGTCGGAAAAGTGGTCAGAATTTTGATGATTTCCAGCAGTGAGCTACTAGGTTACTCATATGAAACTAGTCCGAACAAAACTTGAAGGTTGGTTGATTGCATAAAATAACAAGCAGAATAAAATAAATAACAAGGTTTTGTAAACAATAGAGCAAAACAGGATTCCTGGGATCACAATGTTTAATCACCTAGTGCCAATTATCGTTTGTAATATTTGGTTTGGAATTAAAATTTGTGTGGGAATGCAAGGTGGAATCGAATTACTCCCGTAATCTCTATTCCTAGTGAATTCACACCCCCGTGGCTTAAACACCCAATAAGATCGAAGATCAACATTCAATTATTCCTAATTACTACCATCTCCCGATGAGCAACAATCTAGCTTAGAATAAACTTCCCCTAATAAGTTCCCCTTTCCCAAGGTCCAACCATTAGGTGCGATCGTGTGTGCCCCAATTTATGCCCCAACTCCCATTGGTGACACAAACATGGCTATGAAGCTAGTAACTGTGACCACTAATTACCAACAGCAACAGATTAAAACAAGATTGCAACACAGATCATAAAAACCAAACATAAATATATTAAGAAATTAACGAACTAGGCACATAGATTCATAAACAAATTCACCCTAAAATCCCTAAGGAATTTAGCTAAACATGGCTAAATTATACATAGCAAATATAAATAAAGAATTACAAATCATCAAAAATGTACAAGAATTGACCAAGCGATTCTCCCAAATCTCCTTGGCTTCCTCCTTGCTTCCAAAGACAACTTGAGACTCTTGATTTCTATCTTTCTTGTCTCCAAAGAACTCTAAAAATCTCTAATATTTTCTTAGGGTTGAGGAAGGTGTGATTTTATAGTAGGTACAAAGTTAGGATGAAATAGGAATTTTCCTAATTAATTAAGAAAATTACCGCAATTAATTTTGGAAAGTGTTATTTTGAATGATTTCTAAATTATTTTGTCACTATGGAAATCAGCGCCCTTTGCTTGAATTTGGAATATGAAACTTGAATTGGGAATTGAGGTATGACTTGAATAATGAAGTCAGCGCAATTTAGAAATCATGTGTAGCCACCTCTTCCTTTAATAAATTAACGCCGCCTTTCTCCTTTGCAATATAGCGCCTTAATTTTGTTCAGCGACTTTCTCGACGCGTCGAGATCTGATGGTCTCGATCACAATATTTTCTGGAAACGAGTCTTTTGGATTTTGAACTTGTCTAAAATTGCTCCAAATATCTTTGAACTTCCCTTACTTATATCTTTGACATAAAATAATTCAAAAACACTAACAAACACCGTAAAACATTCTAAATGAGTGTAAAATTATATCCTAATGAGAATAGCAAGGAAAACATGTATTAAATAAGCAAAAATAAAGAAATTAATTACTGAGATGATTCAAAATAACTATAAAAACAAGCACATATGTGATAACATCACTTAGCTTATAATGTTATATTTTGAAAATTTATAGATTAAGGACAACCGAATTGAATGAGATTACAAAAATACTCTCTCTGTCCCATTTTATCTTTCATACTTACTATTTCTTGGTCAAACCAACTCTTTCTTCTTTGTTTTTTTATATTAGTATTTTCATAAAAAAAAATTAAATTTGATTTTTTTTTTTTGTGTTTAATAGTATTTTTAATGTAGTTTCTAAATATATAAATTTTGCATACTAATTCTAAACTTAATATTATAAAAAATTAAATTTTAAATAACTTCAGTCTAGCATCGTTAATCGAATCCGAAACATAAAATGGGACGGAGGGAGTATCATAAATGTGACTAGATGAATTTACTACGTCAGGTCAATACCCTACACCAATTTTTTATGTTCAATAATACAAAATTTAAATTTTTATTGTGTTCATCAATTTTATTCTAAAAACTATTATGGACTTATTTAATTATATATGATTTTTGGATATTTTATCATTTTATGAATTGAATATTTTTTGAGTTTGTTTGGTGGATTGAATTGTAATTTTTTTTTATATATATAACTTAACTCCAAATTTTAGTTTTTAAAATTAATATGTTAATAGGATTAATAAGGGACAACATTTACATCACTAATAATTCAGAAATCACATTAATAATTAGCATATTTGTGAGAGACATAAATTACAATTTTCCCAATCATAAAATATTATAATTATAAAATCATTTCAATAATCAGCAGAAGTGTTATTGGCTCTTTGTGCTTCAGTAGGTTAAGAAATCAGTAGCATTGAAACTTACACCCCTATTCTACTTTCTTCTTGTTCTCTTACAGCTTCCTCACCACTTCTTGTGCTCATCCAATTCTTCATTTATGTTCCTTCTTGTTGTCTGAAAACCAATTAATATGAAGCATTCCAAATTCCATTGGGTTTTTGAATCATTTGCATTGGAATCTAATAACTTCGAACTATTAAAAATGTTTTCTAAATGGAAAAAACAGAATCATCTATCATGTATCATTTATTTGGCTATATGTCACTATAATCACATTCTCACCATTATCTACTTACATATTTATTTATTATTATGATTACATTCGTTATCATCTTCTGATCTTTTACTTATGGTCATTTTCTATCTTTTCTACTTGCATTACTTATTTAAACAAAACGTATTTACTTATGCTTAAAGTTAGACATTATTTATATTATCAAAATTAAAAAAATAATTCTATATCAATTCAAGTTTTATATTTTGATTGAACTCAATTGATTATTGGTTCGGATATTTTTAGTTATGTTATATCGTAATACAAGTTTAGTCCGGATATTGGATATTGAAATTTCACATATATTATTATATTAGAATTCAAAGTAAATATTATACATTTATATACATGTCATTCAAATGAATATATCCAACAATATTTTAAATATTAGCTCAAAAAATATTATCTGAACTAAGTTTTAGGTGAACTTAATAGGTTATTGGTTCGGATATATTTTGAGTTAAGTTATCTAAACTAGGTTTTAGGTGAACTTACATATATTGGACTTAAAATTAAAAATTATATTTATTCTATTTAAACTAAATATATTTTAAAATATTTTAAATATAATGTCTAAAAATCACCCGAAATTAAACTTGTGTTAATCTAAAAAATAAATTTGAAAAAAATAAATGTTAGTAAACAAGTTTTTTAACAAAAAAAAAAAAAAAAAAAAAAAAAAAAAAAAAAAAAAAAACATAGAGTAAAAACTGAAAAATTAGAAAACAAAAAATAGTTTCCGTTAATAAACGAGCCCTATGTGTTTATTGTTCCGATTCCAATTCAATTAGGTTTGCGTAGTACTCAATTCAGTTTGAATTGGATACTTTAAACCAAATCGTGATCATGCCTACCCACGTCTTGCAACTATAGTTATATCATGGACAATGTGCATATAGCAACATGAACCTAAGCCACCCCCAATTTCTCTCCTTAATTTATTTTTCAACTTGAATTTACTCTTTTTTATACAAATATAATTACTGTAAAAAAATATGCTCCAAAACAATCATTACCGGAATCTTACATAAGCCTTCACTAGCAATGCACAACACACAAGATCAATAATTTATTCAATTATTAGGTGGTTAACAAGGTAATCGGCAAGGGAATAGATCAATCATGTGTTACACCTTGACTCATCAATCACAAGTTGCATTGTAACAAGTTCCACCAAGCAAACCACAAACCAACAAAGGGGAGTAATCACAAATTCAAGTATATAAAGGCAATTTATTCAACACAAAGCACAATGAGTCATCCAAGCAAGGTTTCAAAAAGTTCATTTTTTTTTTAAGAAAACACCCAAATTATCCCCTCCCCCACACTTAAAGGTTACATCGTCCTCGATGTGAAAGAAAATAAAGCACGAGGGGAGGAAATGGTGGCACAATAAGCACAAGGAGCACAATCTCTACTATCTACATTAAGTAAAGCACTAAACACATTTAAAGAAAGTAGAGAAGGTAGATGAGACTCCCCTAATGAATCTTCTTGTGCCAAAGAATCATCATGAAGCCTTCTTGGAATTGAGCATACTCCTTAGTGTCACTCCTAGAGTCAAGGGAATATACCCATGAAAGCACAAGTGAAAGCATAATAAATCAAATATAAAGAAAAAAAATAAAATAAAATGCAATAAAGTGAAAGATAACATGGGGTGCCTCCCATGAAGCGCTAAGTTTAACGTCGCTAGCTCGACTCAACCTCTCAAGTATTCAACCATCAATGGATTGAAGGAGAAAAATTCCCATCTTTCTATCAACCTTTTCTTCTAGGTATTTCTTCAAGTGGTGGCCATCAATAAATTCCATTAAGCTCATCTTCACCACTTGAAAGTTTAAGACAATAAGCTCATCCAAATCAAACTCCAAAAATATCCCTTCCTCAAATCCATTTTTTATCCATAAATCAAATGAGGTCTTCTTCCTAAAGATTGGGTCTTGATAATACTCAAGAGCTTGATCATTTTCTTGGTCTTCACTTCTTTTCTCTTCTTGACTTTCCTTTTCATTTGCAAATAAGGAGAGTCTTGGATCTTTCTCATGCACCAATAAGAAGTGGGAATCCTTTGATTCAAATATAGGCCAATGCGGGCCTCCACTTTCAAGAACATCAACTCCTCCCGGTTCCCACACTCTTCTAAAGTCTTCACTAATGAGAGTATCATTCATTGG